CGGCCGCGACCTCATATAACGGGCCTGTGCTTGGATAGGTCCTACGCTTTGTTCTGCAGTACTACAAGTACACATTGAACAAGCTGCGCAGACATAGCCGCGGGCCATGCGAACAAGGCTAGTTACTTGAAAACATAAGTTGCAGGCTCCATTGAGGATCAGACTCATCGTGGCAGCCGTGTCCAGAAGTAGCGCGCTAGTATGTTGCAAGTCCGTCCGGAAATTGAAACGTTGAACGTGACGGATCTTCTTGGAAGCTCCGATCACAGGCAGACTTTATAAGGAACGCTGCGCCCGACTTTGGAACTCTCGATTGAGAAGTTGCAATGTAGCTGGGCATGATGTTGCCCGACCAAGAAACTACCGGCCGGGTCTTGCGACACTCGAAGTCTCATATAAGCGGCATGTCAGTAGCACAAACAACCACTTGTTAATAGCAATCACGAATGCCCAAGAATTCGATCGTCATTTCTGATAAAGTGTGTGCTTCTGTCTGAGGATAGCGAACCACGTCAAATCATCGTGCCAGCTTGCCGCTATTTGGTCCACTGACTCTCCGCGGTCAAGCATTTGCCGGACGTGAGAGTTTCCAACCAATTTGTCGAGCCAATAGGACCCTCCGTCGCATCGCCATGCAAAATGGGTCGGGTAGAGTTGCTTGAGGAGAAGGAGCAAGTTGAGACCGACCCGTAGCGAATTGTACTCTTGAGGTTGTTGCACGTACAACTGCAAAAGCAAAAAATAGGGACGCAGTTAGCAGCAGGGTTTGGGCGAAAAGAAGTCAGGCATTGCAAAAAGAATTGGGAAGATGTGTGGGTAAGGAGCAAGGGGTGAGAAGGAGAACAGAAAGCAAGACGAGAGATGAATGAGAACGAAGAAGAGAAACGCCTAAAAAGTAGGATCCAGTCTGGGCGCAAAGACCCCAATCTGACAGAAAAGATTTCGTACCTGAAGCGTACTGCACGAGTACTGTACCGAGATCGACATCTTAAATGCTGACCATTCGCCGAACAACGCTGACCAAGAACGGGCTGAGAATAGAGACCTTCTAAAACATAACTGTATCGGCAAACAGCACAAAGAACTAGACTTTGAGCGTTTACACTTCGTTACAGTAGGCCCCGCAACATCGATCACAGCGTTTCTGAAGCAGTCGACGTCCCGCAGGGGGTCCGTTTCCCGCGCACCTGGACCCCCCCGCACATCTTCCCCGCGTGCTTGCTGGACGTCGGGGTGAAGTAGGCCTCCCTAAAGAGTACGCCCGGCCAGCCTGCAGCGCGGGCTTCCCGAGAAAAGCGGAAGTCGACCCAGGGCGCTCCTATCTGCAGCGAAGGAGGATGCAACGTTTCAAAATGGTATCAGCCGCACGGAAAAGCAAGGAGTGAAAACAAAGCTGTACAAGAATTTAAGAGCAACGAGCGTACACTATCGCCAGGAATTTGCCGAGCTGATGGTATCGCTTCGGCCGTCTTGCGGGAACCCTTGATTGGTGACGAACACGCCCGGCGGAAAGGAGGGAGAGATAATTCTAGGAAGTGAAAGTTCAATCATCACACCAGAATTTTGACACGAGCGTGGCGTCGTTCCGAACCAAGGAACCGACACAAACGGAATCGAAACGGGCCTTCGTTTGCTTCCAAAGCACCCGACGAACAATGTAAAAGCGGCTCGCTTCCAGACTACTCTAGACGTGCTCCAGTCACGTTTATCTTCCTGTGCCGCTGGTCGAATAGGAACTTCATCTAGAGTCGACACGTGTCCTATCGAGCGGTTTGGCTTCCTGAACAAAGGGACTCACTAGACTGACGCAAATTATCTTCCACAAAAGTCAGCATTGCAACGCGGTCGGAAAAGAGTGACCAGACGATATGGTCGAGGGAGGGAAAGTGGACACAGATCTGAGACAAGACGCTACTGTCTTTTCTTAGACGTGAGAATTCTGACAACACGATATTTGCGATTGTACAAAGGAAACGGCGCACCTGTTCGAACGGGAGAGTCGTCCCGCGCCCCTCTGACAGGTTCGTACCCTGCAAACGAGATACGGGAGAGAGGAATGAAAAACATAACTTCTAGATTGGGAAGAGTAGATCTAGGAGTTTGGCATGAAAGCCTGGAATCTCTAGGTGTGGAAAACGTGTAAATCGAGGGGCCTGGACAGGTTGCGGTTCCTCAGGTTCGGGTTTTGTTGTGGCATTCCCAAATCTAGCTATTAGTTCTATTGTACCTAGTCTTTCAACTTTTGGACTCACACTGTGGACTTAAGAGCCGCGCTTGGTGATAGAGGTCGAGGTTCTCAACCGAATCCAAGGAGGAGTTGCCAACGAAGCGAAAGGAAATCGATCATATGAAAGTGGACGGGAGGCCGAAATAGCGTGGCGGCAAGCTTTTCCCATCCAAAGGTCCCAACAAAGACGGTGTCCACATCTCGAGTAGGGGAACTTGTTCGAACGTGGGCTCTCAACTCAAGACCTTCTGGAGCCGACGGAGGCTCGAAGAAAGCAAATGATTCACACGCGGGACACTGAAGATCTTGATGGTGGTTATGCAATTCAGAATGACAAGACTTGTTGCGAGTCATAGTAAAACACGCAAAAGGAAACGAGAGTTCGAAGGTGATATTTGCGGTAACGGGACAACCCGCAGAAGCCAATTGAACACCTCATTAGGGGAAGGAGTAAGAACGGAGATGGAGCGGCAGCGCTGAAGCAGATACGACGGGTTTTGCAAGACTTTAAAAAACCAACAAGGTTCAAAAAGAGGCCAGAATGTTTTCTAGACACAACGAAAAGGCCCGATGACGCCGACAACGTTCGTCTGAGTCTAAAGACCGTGGTTTGGGGCTTGTGACAAGAAATGTTCTAGTATCGGAGCCGGAAGATGCTCCAGTCCACCTCCGTGAGAGGAGCACCTGCTGCAAGGAGGGACCATCAAGCGGAGAAGGAGGGGACAAAGAGAGGGCGGGGAGAAGGAAAGAACTTTCGCACAACAATGGAGACAAAAGTGCACAACGCAAATCACCAAAAAAAGTGATCTTACACGAACAGGCAATGATCCTTGCCAAAGGACGGAGAGAGGAAGGGGGCGAAGGAGGGGAACAACATGAATAGCAGGGAATGTGCAAGCGTGAAGATAAGAAAAGAAGTAAATAAACGGGAATAAAAAAATAGGTCTCACCTCGAAGAGGCCCGTTCCTCCGTAGACGAGCGCGGTGGCTGGGGTGGGCATGCCGGGCGAGGGGGGGACCCAGGGAAGGCCGGTCTCGGAGAAACACGTGGCGCGCGACCACTGGTCCATCTTGACTACCTCCAAATTGGCCTGTGCGAAGAGAATTGAGATTGGATTTGCAAGGCGCCCACGGCTGGATAATCTAAAAAAGCGAGAAGTAGAAAGCTGCCCAGGAAACGCTTGACAGGTCCTACACTTGCGCTCCACAGATGCGGCGATCTCAAGTGCCGCTTCCGATGAACGGATCCCTTCTTGCGGAACGCACCTTGCCATCCAGTCGAGCAAGGATCTGAAAGTATTCCCTTCCCTTTCAAAGTCGATCGTCAACCCAATCAATTAACCGAAATACTTTTTGAAGTGCTAGTCGCGAACAGGACTCTATGGAAGCAGTGACAAACTGCTGGGGTATTCGGGTGTGGAGAGACCAAAATTACAGGCAAATGAGGGAGGTTGACCGCAGCACTAAGACCGCTTACGGGAAAGGCGAACTTACTTTCCCTTCGCCCGCAGGCACTCTTGAACACCCCTGCCGAAGGTTTAATAACCGACAAACCACGCTTAGCCCTCTGAAAGAGACGCAACGCGCGAGTAGGCCATGAAAGTCTCGAAATAGGTGGCTCACTTGCCTGCCGCCCGCGTCCCCCGGGACGAACTCCTCGTTGAACAGCTGCGCGAGTTCGCCCATCGTGCACCCGTGGAGGAGCGGGATCGCCTGACGGAACAAGAACCGGCACCCGCCGTGAGTCGTCAATCATACTTGTCGAAGCACGGCAGACATCGTGACGTGTTCCCTCAAAAGTATCACAGAACGATTGTGTAACGAGGCGTATCGATGGTCGGCATCTGCTAAAGCTCCTGAGCATGCAAATGAGGAAATAAATCCCCGATGTCTACGATCGCAAGAAATCGATAGCCTGGACGCGAGGTCAGAAATGAATGGGATTGTTGTATGGGCGGCTCGGACTTCCGGTTTGTGAGCCGAGCAAGTAAGAAACTCTGCCCACCAACCTGAGGCCGGAACGGAACAAACTCCCAAATGCGCCCGGCCCAGGCTTTTAGAACACGTCCACAGTCTGAAGGAAAACAAGTTTCTTCCCAAGCGAACGAGGTCGCGTTCTAAATTTAACACCGCACGGCAGTGACGTGTACACAAGCCCTCCTGATCGGAAACACCAGCATCGTGAGATTGACACCGATCTTTCCATCCGTTTTGGGGGTAGAAGTCAACAGCGACCGTCCCGGATTGATTGGAGACGCTTTCTGAAAGGACGAAGATAAGAGGCAGTCCGTGACATTACAAAGATACGATAACACCGAAAGAAGGGAAGAAAGTGGCACGCGATGGATAGAGACGAACTTTACTGAAGAGCGAAGAACGCGTCAACAAGAAGAGAGGGTCCAGCAGAAAATGACGAACGCAGAGAACGCAGAGCAAACGAAGGAGATGCGAAGCCTCAGGAATCCAAAAGCAAGCAGGAGATTCTTAAAAGCAAGATGAGGGTCACGTCGAATTTGCAAGATATCAGGGAAGATCACGATCAGGAAATTGTTGAAAAGATCTCCTGAAGAGAACACTTGCCTTTCTGCCAACGAACGATGCGAACTCTTTCTCCATCAGGGGGCCATCCACCAAAACCCCGCCAATGGGATTCGGACGGTCCGCAACAATAAACTTGATGGGTTCGGACGCCAGAGCCGCTGCGACCAGGCAGTCGTACAGCGTCCAGATGTACGTGTAGAAGCGGACCTGGACGAGGGAAGAGCGTATGATAAGGGCGATGCGCTTGTGGAAAGTGCGGCCTGGTTCTGAGTGAATTATGAGCTTTTGAGTGGATTTGCAAACACGCCGTTTATAGAATTGACCACCTATTCGCAGGCAAGAGAGAGCACCACGGACCTTACATGTTTGATATGCACAGGGGGCCTAGACATCGCAACATTTTCGAACAGCATCGGTGAAAGATTGAGATCTCGCCAGCATCAAACTTAAAGAGGGCAAACACATCCATTTATTCGGGCCCCGACAGATGCGTTTCACGCCGAAGTGAAGTGCCCAACCTTTATCGCCAAGATATGGGATGTAAGTGAAAAGCCAATACTTCCACAAGAAAAGTATGAACTCATTTGCACGTGCTGGCCAGCTGACATTGCAAGACGTGTATGGCATCAGCGTACAACGTGCAAGCATATTGCTCCGAACTTTCACCTCGACGATGCAGACATAAACAGCGCTCGCTCAACTCTCGTTGCTTCCTGATGGAGTTTCTAGATCTGAAGGACCCAACTTGGGAAGATTTGAAGGCTACCGGTCATAGCATTGCCTGCCGTTACACTGACGTCTTGCTTTAGCAGCATTCCGCTTTTGCAGTTCGTTCCTACCATTTCTCACTTTCGGATAGATTCAAACACCCTTTCTGAAGACATCAAGTCATGCCTAAAAGTCCACAAGGATTTCTCTCCGTTAGAACCAGACAGGATTCCAAGAGAGAACGGATCTAATGGGCCCACAAAACGCCGACTTACCCCGACGTCTTGCATGTCAAAGAGGAGGCAATCAACTCCGGCTTCCGCAAAGGTCTCTGAGATGCGTCGACTGTTCTTCTGGTACAGATCGTACACCGGAAGGCCCGTCCGAGCGTCTGTGTACTTGCTCTGAGAAGCGCCCGCCTGTAGGACCACGTGGCATGGTTAACAGCGGGTTAAGCAGGAAAGAGAAAGAATTATTTAAGCAGTAGGAAAGTGGTGTGTTTGAGCAGTACTTCGACAGACTGTGGGTTAAGGCAGCAGGCAAAAAGCGGCCCAAGCCCGTTACGACCTCAATTTGATATTAGATCCAGTTGAGGCTTCCAAGCTACGCCTCTGCGGTTAAGGCCCCGGGCTGCTAGTGCTGCGCCCCTTTCGCAGCCGGTTTGCTTTCTCATCGTTCTCGGCTTTAACGAGTTCGTTCTTCCAGTGAAAGAGAAAGGCAGTGCAACGTGGTACCGTCTCAGCTCCTGCCCTGCGGATTCATAACATGAATTCTCCACGTTCGCATTAGGTCCAACCCCTGTTAAGTATTTTGGCGATCTGCCAGTTCTCAGCATTCCCCAGGCGTGCTGCCATCGTTGACCCAGGTTTAGCAGCAAAGGACCACCAAAGGTCGAAGGCAAATGAGGAGTAGAGAAGTTGATACTAGAAGGCAGAGCACAACTAGTGTCGAGCAGTTTGAAGTTGAGCACGTTGTGACTCTTGATATGAAGAAGGCACTGGAAAACGACATGCAGACGAATCTGCTTTCCAGCTTTTGCCCTTTTTTCTTCTACTCCACCAAATACATCTAACTTTCTAAGCTGATTGTCCCCGTCCCTTTCACTTCCTTCAATCCCAACCTCAGAGTCTGGCGGTTGTTCGTAAGCAGGATAATGTCGATCATGATCCTATTTCTGGGTCCGAAGAACGTTCACCTGCGCGGCGCCTCTGAATCCATGCTCGGGGCCAAAGACCGCCCGCAGATTGACACCGGGGGCTTCGTGCAGAACGTCCACCTGCCAGAAAGAGGAGTGGTGTCAATGCCAAGGAATCTACAATGTCATGGTGACGTGTTGACCAACTGTTTGATTGAGCTTTGTTGGTCACAATCACAGCTAAGAAGGGGTTATCTGCAATGCTCGAGCACATGGCCAGCTGTTTTTGATGAATAGACACATGTCCGCAACCAGCTTCTTCTTGCTGGTCTTTCTGGGGCTTCCATGTCTAGATAATCACAGTAGTGAATGAAGTAGAGTTTTCTGAACATTATTTCAATCACTTCAGCACGAATTTGATGTGGCTTACTTTGGGTCAGAAGAAGAGCACCAGATTATTTGGAATAAGGATGGAAGCAAAGGCCCATTGAAAAGTAGAGGGGGATACTTCTGTCATTTAAAAGTCCTCTGGTTAGTCAGAACAGCCAACTACTAACTGGTCACTCTTTTGAGTTCAACTGTGTCAAGATAGAAACACCAGGTGCTTTCGGGCAAAGGTGTTCCACTTTCGAGCACCGCTCTTGCAAAATATTGGAGCTCAGCTCGGTTGCATAGGTTTCAAGCAAGCAATCATCATCACTCACACTCCGTCTCCAAAGCCCATCCTCACCAGGTGGCGCAAGTCTGGAAAAACTCCCGATGCATTCGTCAGAACACCCACTTTGTGACCCCGCAACTGGTCCCATGCATTCTCCTCCATCATTTCAATCCCAGGCCTGACCCGGGGTGGTACATCGTTCCCTGCGCCTGGGGGGTGAGAATTGCCCATCGCTCAGATTCGCAGAGCATCTGAGCTTCTGTCGAGGACGCAGACGCGGCGCCGCAGGGCTTCAGAACAGCATACATCAAGGGACAAGCTTGTAAGTGCTTGTACAACGCTGTCCGCAAGCGCCAAGAGGGAGGAAAGCTAGGCGGAGAACATACGAATAGGCTTTCCACTCCTACTACTAGCTACTGAGCTACTGCATGTGAACTTGAAACTCGGCAACGCGCGCGCTTCGGCCTGACGGCGTCGGAGGCCCGGCGGCGGGCCGGACGCACGCACGGTAACTTTGGAGGGAGTGTCCATCCTCTATACGGTGACTCGGAAGGCACCATTGGCATGTTCCGCAGCTTGCTGTCTTGCTGTATTTAAGCGAAAAGGCCGAAAGGCCTGGCGCATTCGGTCGTTCTTGTCTTTCTGCTTCCCTTTAAAGGAGCTGATTGGTTGTGTGCAATGCATTATTTCAATGAGCCACGTGAGCCTGCAGCCTGCAACATAGCCATCAGCTTGTGCGAAGCTGGCCTAGAACCGACGGAGCAGATATTTGAGGGTGTGTTCTTCGATGAGCTTATACTCGTTGTAAAATTGATGCTGAAGAATGTCAAGGAGGCTGCAGCAAGGAAGTTGGGCTCTTATGCAACCCGGCATAAGCCGCGAGCTGCCCGCACAAAGAGACTGGTAAGGAAGCGCGGCCTATGTTCAATCCAGAGCACAATTATCGAAGTAGCCTAGCGTCTGCTCATCGGCAGCATTGCGTACGTTTGTTTGGCTACACTGGTAGGTGCTGCAAAATGATTCTCGTCAGATCGGCTGCACAAAGCTTCAATGGATTGATTTATCTGAGGTGATAACGTGGGACATATTGATTGCACAAGCTGAGACCCTCCTGAGTCCTGACCGCTCTGGACCATCTGGCTAGGTCATGAGCTCAGTTTTACGCCCCTTCATTTAAGACCAGACATTCAGCTCATGGAAGTCTGCAGAATTCCTGGTGAAAACTGCTGGCTGTTTGAGCTTAAGTGACTGTAAGCCGCCCAATGGCCCGACATCGAGGGTTGGCGAACTGCTTTCAAGCAAAGCACACAATTTTCCCATGCAGGTCTCTGCCTGGTTCACAAGACTCAACCGTGACATTATTGAGCGTAATGGCACCCCAGTCCGCTTTCATGAACGCATTCAAGAGTGGGGAAGATCAGGCATGCCAGCGGCCCTCAGGGAGATGGGTCGCGACATTGTAGAAGATGGCCCACAGACGGTGCAAACAGTAGCCTTGGCTCTCCGGGAGAGCGTAACAGCTGCCCGGCCCCTGATGCAGAATGCAATAGAAGGGTACATACAATGGCTAGAGCTTCCCGGACAGGTTTGCATCATCCAGAGAGCATTCAGAGCATACCGTAAGCGCAGATTGACATTTTACGTCATCATTGCGACAGCCCGGATTCCACGAGAGGTGCAGGAAGTGATCCTGAAGAAGGTCTTGCAGGCGTTTCGTTACATCCAATTTTAGCACTCCAATGAGGACGCTTCTGGCGACGCTTATTGTTTACAAGGAAGCAACAATGACGTACTTGGATCATTTATACCACATGCCAGCTATTTCAACGATCAACTTTCAATGGGAAAATGACATGACGCGTGTTCAGCAACATTCATCCGGTCAAGTACATTGCACATGTGCCTGATGGCAAGAAGTTCTTTTACATGTTGAATGGAGTTACTATCAAATCGCAGCAAATGGAAGCCAGTGAACGAGTCCGCATGCAATCTGTGAACACATCAGTCTCCGCATATCCGAAGCAACCATTGAATTTCGAAGTGCGTCGAATGCCTGATTCAGCACGTCGCGGCGGCGTCGTACTCAGTGTGCTAATTAATGCATGGCAAAGTACGATAAGAAAGACTGCTGTTCGGCTAACCCCCTCCTGACCAGGCTTCAGTCAAAATCGTTTTGTTCAATGGAATTCCGATCACCTACGTGTTGCCTTCAGGCTTCGAAGGCTGCTATCGTTGCAAGCATGGCGTGCGTGATTTGTAATTGAAGACTATCTCATGTCGAGTCCGTTGATCTGTTGTCTGCTATATGGCTCCCAAGCCTCTTGGACCCACCTTCAACCTTTAGATTGTACATTGTCTGAGGAGCCAAGAAGCTGAGTGGTGGTAAGTGTTGGACGAATGACACCGAGTCTTTCCAAGGAAATCCTTGGACTTTGCGATATGTACATAGTTAAACAGGGCCGCGAGCGTGCCCCCACTGTACTGATACCCTTTGCTTCGCTTGCCTACGTATGACTATGGAAGTTCGATCCACTATCAGCTTCTATTGCGCGTTGTGTAATCAATATGATACTTAAGCTTCGTTGGGAGCGAAGCTTACTCGTTCCGAAGCTCTTTAGAGGTAGGCGACCAGAGTAAGAAGTGACCCGTCGCGCTAATGCTTATGTATTCATTTGCCTCCAGGTAATCTGCCAAAAAGCGCAAGCCTTTCACGCGAGTCGTATGGACAATTGACCTTTGACACTATGTACACGACCACCTATTTTCGACCAGCTTTGAACGCTTTGCGGTAATGGCCCCAGAGACGGTTCCCTTTTCCAGTGGCACATCTAACCATTGACCCCCTACGTTTGTGTTCATTTCTAGCGTCGCTTCTGCTACTCGGCATTGAGCGTGAGCAGTTCCTTGGGCGTGCTACCCGCGAGCGCGATCTTCTCCACGGTCGCCGGCGAGTTGAGCGGGAACCACGCGGTCTCGTTCCGCTCGGCACGCGCGGAAGCGACGGCAGACCGGATCGCCAGGACGGCACTGCAGAAAAAGCCGATTGAGGTCTCTCTAAGACCTAGCCTCAGCGTTTACGAATCTTCTGTGTTGTAAAGTTTTTGGCGACCCGGGAAGCCCTTAAGTGATCTTTGACGAAGCAACGACTGTTGCTTTGCAGGGCCGCAACGGCTTCTTCGACCCCGGTTGCGGAATTCAAACTTCAGCTCCTTGTCATCATCGTCCCTTATGCCCCTGTGAAGGCCGTTCCCCGTCGTAGCCGTTCTGCATCGTAGCGTTCAAAAAGTCGTAGTTTCGATCATCGTGTTGTCCTCGTACGGCTCTCGCTCTTGTGAACCAGATTCGTCCTCTCGAAGAAGCGCGCGTTGATTACTCGAGGTATCCAAAAAGAATACCTTCTGAATCGGACTTAGAAAGACGTTTTCAAATTCTTGCAACCGAGAGGACGTCCCAACGCGACCCGCCACCGTCAAAAAAAGACAAGCAGGCTGACGCTGGCACGACGTCACTCCACAGGAAAAGCAGACTGCCACTGGAAAAACGTGCACGGTATCGTGGGCATTTGCACCAAGGAAAGAATGGGACCAAACACTGCACAAATGTTTTCTTGTCAACAGGAAAGCCACATTGGAAGCACGAAAAAGTGCCTCACGCGCATGCAATCCTCAGCGATCCATTTCGTGGTGACGTCTCTGCAGCTTTCGACGGGAACCAATTCTGATTTACTCTCGGAACGGGTGGATCCGGAAGTTGAGTCGTATCGGGAATTGTATGGATTTGAAATTGACCACTTTATCGAAAATGAGTGGTCTCGAATATTGACTGGGAGAATTGCGTGGCTCTGAATGTTGAGACTCTCAACCAGACCCAACAGATTAGAGAGTGCACTCTTTAGAGCTGCGGTTCAGGTTACAATTTCAAAATAAGACCTTGGGTCTCGGGTGTATTCACCTCGCGGCCATGGCGGTCGGGGGCTCGCCGGAGCACTGCACATCAGCGCGACAGTTGAGAAACCTCCCGTGAGTAGACCGAATTGTTGACGTTAAAATTACAAATTCGATTGAAACGGAGGATTTGCAGTCGCATCAGAACTCACAGCTGGCTACAAAATCAGAAGGGCCGCAAGTTGCCCGAAAGGATCACGAAGATAACTACAAAGAGGGCTAAACTTTCAATTTACAAGTCGTCCTACAAGATAAAAACGCCTTGTCAATATAAAGAATATGGCTGTGCGCACGAGTTGATGACGTGCTCTTAATGCAACAAGGGCCGAGAATATGTGGAAATTCCAGAGGGGCAGAAAGACAGAAAGTAAAAGCTTGAAATCGTAGGGACCCTTACAGCAAACAAACGACTACGTGAGGGTCTGATAGCTTGAAAAAGGAAAGTGTAGAAGACAGCACGGATGATCCGTACTCAGAAAGGCCTTGAATGACCCCAAGGGCCCCCACTTGGCGCTGTTTGGGGTGTGGTTGTTCCTCAAACTCCGGATTGCAAGACGTACTATTCAAGTTGGAATCCTGAACTCTTTTGCTAACGCGTTTTAAAGAGCCTTTACTACGAGATGATCAAGAATGAATCCCAAAGGAAGCCCAGCTTGCAGCGTGGCAATCATCATTTGGTTTGCTTTTCTGAGAAGGAGTAATCACGAAAAGCCGTAAGAGAGGACACGTGGCAGTCCCACCTTCGAGCGGAGGAAACCGGAGGGATTGCCGCTATTCTGCAGGAGTGACACGTGGAACTCCACTGGGATGTCCTGGGAAGACGGAACCTACAAAAGCAGCGGGGACTGAGCTCAAAAGGCAGCCTTTTAGGCGACTAGGGCGAGTGCCTACAGTGATGTTTGGTTGCCCCTATGAGGCAAGGAGGGTTCTCCGAAACACTAGTGGAGAGGGAACCTTCGCATATATTAAGAGCATCCTCATTGGTAATCTTGAAGGAAAAGAAGAAGAGAATTCTACGGGTCTGCGTTGAATCTACTCCAATTGGCCCTCGAGTCAAGTCCTTAGAACCAACGCTTCAGCGTTCGTTTGGCAGAGAGCGACACAAGTCGTTCATCTCCCACACACGTGTTGCAATGTCAGTCCCAACCTTCAAACTCCCTTGACGTCAGCATGTGATTAGTTCAACTGATATGACAAACCAGCGGGATCAGAACCTCAATAAAGAAAGTCAAAACCCCATAATGACCTCCAATTGTGCAATTCCTAGCCCCACACCAAAACCGGACGTCCCAACTCACCTTGTACTCCCACGTCGTGTCCGAGATATTCTTCCCCGCGTCGTTGTACAGAATCTCCTCGCACAGGAAGTTACCCAAACCCATGATGTAACCCCCGTGAATTTGACCCACGTCGATTGCCGGGTTAAGGCTCTTCCCAGCGTCTAGCAGAAGGTCCGTCCGCAGGATGCGCCACTCTCCGGTCAAGACGTCAGCTTCGGCTTCAGTGACCGCAGCACCGTAAGACATATATCTGGGAGGAGGGTTAAGACGTTCCGTTAGCATTGCACATATTGGCTCTTCGATAAGTGGCAGGGATTGGATTTGCGGTACCCAGGGTACACGATTGCTTCCTTCCCCCAAAATGTAGCAAGGCAACGTTGAAGGACACGTTCCTGCGGAGGAAGGAATGAGGTTGAATCAGCACGGGGTACGAAACTGCTTTCTGGTGTGGTGCACAAAACCAGATATTTGTGCATTGCAACTTCGCCATCGGCCATCGTGTTCTTTTCGGATCCATTCTTAGACTCGTGGAAGAGCACGGGTAAGCAGCTTGGATGTGGAGGGGGACAGTCTCGCTGATCGAAGGGCCGATATCCATTCCATTTGTATCTCCGAGATGGTGGCGCTGAATGTTGGAGGACAAGTTGCGTTGATGGTGGACAAAACCCGGATGTGAGAAGCTACACGCCCGCAACTCTCCTCACAGCACTTCAACAAACTTTAATGGAGCAGGAGGTTAGACGCCAGGTTAGGGCAGGTCAAACAGGTTGGGAACAGCACGCGCGCTGTTGAGGCAGCGAGTTGCAGCACTTGCAGGCCTGCACGGACGGACCGGAACGGAATGCTGAGTGGAGTGGGCGAGACGAAGAAAACTCAATGCCAAATGGACAAGTGGTGACCAGAAACTGCGCACAGACCATATCTCAATCAAAGAGAAAGACCGGAATACAACAGCAGAGCAGAGCCACAAAAAAACAGAGCGGAACGGTAAAAGCGAAACGGAAGGAGAGCGGAACGGAAGCTCACTGGAAGGGCCCCCACGGCGGCGCATCCTCGTCGACGCGCGCGGTAGCCTGCAGGTCTAGGCCGAGTTCGACCGCCTTGTTAATCAGCTGATGCCACGTGGGCTCCCCTGATTCGGCGAGGCAGGCCCTGCGGGCGATCTTCAGGCTTTCCGCAATCCTTGCACAGGCTTTCTGCGGAGCGGAAACCGAAATCTGCTGAGATTCAACCCAAGAAAAAGATCTGAAGGGGATACTAAAGGACTTGCGTCGGTCTATGAGCAATCCAAGAAAGAAGAGGAGGGATTCGCAGAACAGAGACGAGATAGAAAGGAAAAGGGAAAGGGTAACGAATGACGTCATGCTCACTTGGGTGGCCTTGCTGCAAAGCTCCGATCCGATAGACGACTCGGTGCCGTAGGAGTTGTTGGCGACCAGCGTAGAGGTGGGGCCGACCCGGATCATAGACAGCGGGACGCCGCCTTTGGCGAACGTGCCCAGAGCGTATGCGGCCACCTGCGTTGGGATTTGGTTCAGGAAATCAGGGTTATGAAACCGCAGGGTTTCAGGATGGTACGATGATTTCGGACTTTCAGAGCTTGTTGCCACAGGGATGTGGGCGCTCAATAATGGATGGTTAGGGGCTGGTTAAAAAGTAGCTGTGTGTCCATCAACCAGACTTGGTCGTTCACCAGCCTTGCAACAGGATCAAAGCCCGTTTATTTGTCTGATAACCTGAGACCCAAATCTGTAAACTACCCTGGTTAGCACTTCCTGTTTAGTTGAAATGGCCGCCGGCACCCATCACTGGAGCGTGAGTGCTCCGCATGTCGACAACCCACCTTACTCCGATGCAATCGACTGCTCTTCTTGAAGTGAAAACGGACATCTTCGCGGTCGTCGAAGCTTTCTTGAGGTGCCACGTGTTCTCACAGAATTCTGCCACGTGGCTCACCTGGGCGACCTTTGTGTTAAGCCCCTGGCCCATTTCCACTCCGGCAGTGTCGACGCGCACCGAACCGTCCGGGTAAATGTTGACCAGCGCACTGTACGGACAGTCCGACCACTGGACGACGAACCGGGTCGGGAGCAGGCAGATGCCGCGCTTAACCCACCTGGTTAGAAAGGAACCTTGATTACGAGGGCTTCTGGAGCTTATGCAGTGCTCAAATCACCGATTCAAAAGGCGGCAATTACCCGGGCCAGGGTCAAGCTATTGCCGCGCTCAATCCACCTGGTTATGGAGGAATTCTGCTAACTTTGGATTTAAGAGATCAAGATGATGCCGCGTTTACACCAGCTGGTTAAGAAGGAACACTGGCTAAGAAGGATCCTGAAAGCTCATAACAATGAAACCTTTTAACTCTAAATGTCGACGTTGAAGGGGGTTGGGAGCAGGCTTATGCCGCGCTTAAACCACCTGGTTAAGACGGAACCGATTCATGGCAGTCTGAAGAAAACTCTTTTGTGATCAGGCTGAACGCGAGCTTCACCAGAGGAATGATCGGGTGTGCAATACCTCTGGAGCTAGATAAATTCTGATACAAGCTTATGGTGCTTAACATGGCAACGCAAGTCGGGCTGAGACGGTGGAAGTGAACAAGTGTTGCACTCTGCTTCGATTCGACAACAAAGACAAGTTCGAAACCGCCTCTGATAAAAAGATCCAACTTCCAGGGTCGTTGTAGTGGCAAAATCACATGGTTTCCTTCTGGTGATTACTTTCTAGAATGAAAAAAGATTACGATCCAAGAGCTAACGACTTCTGACAATCAAATTCTTTCGGAGACACATGCGGTCTCACCGGTTCGCCTTGTTGAACTCCTCGACCTCTGCCCGCCGCTTATAATATTTGCTCGACTTCTTGACCATATCGTACACGAGCTGCACGTTGCAATAGTGCAGCGTCTGCTTGAACGGGGTGACGTCACCCTTGCGGTACATGTTGCGCTCCCTGACGTCATCCGCGGGGAGGCCCAGCTTGTGCGCCACGTGTTCGATGACGTGCTCGATGACGTAGATGCCCTCCAGCGTGCCTGCGCAGAAGACGGGTAATGATTGGTTGAGCTTGTTTACAATCAAGTCACGCTGAGTCTGGGATTGTTTTGCTCCCAAAAAGCCTAGCGCCGAAGTGCCCCAGAACAACGGACAACTTCGTGCCTTCAGAGTGCAACTTTGAAGCAATATTGAGCATCCGTGATTTCGTTATTTTGGTATCCCTGTTCACGCTCTTGGACTGGCGGCTAGAGGTGGCTAGAGGAGGCAAATGCAAGGCCAACGCGCATCTTAGATTCTCACGGAGTGCACAACTGTGTTCGCAAAAAGGATTTGGAGTCAAAAAGCACTTGCAAGACATTATTTCAGAGAAGTCGTGAAAGGCCACCGACGCGATGGCCTAAAGCTGCGGTGTCCTACAATCATGGAGGGGCAACCTCTGAAAGATTCCTATATTCCGATCGTTTCGAGAAATTGACTCTTAAGGAAGCTACACGCGCTCCAAATCAGGTCGACAACCATTTTTTAGCCGGGGCACGGAACTTGATGAAGATTCGACTTTGGTTGCGGGAGACGCTCTCTTCATTTGCTGCAACTCGTGCAATTCGAGACCAGATACTGAATCACTACCCATTCTGGTCGCCCGAAAACGGCGGTTTCTCACCCGGGGCGCGCATGTAAGTGCAGGCCGGGAGGTTGGTTCGGGCGACCCAGCCCTCGAGGCGCCAGGCCGGGGAGCGGTACACGTTGTCGAAGAAGATGAAAAGGCCGGCCATGTCCGCGCCGTCGAAGTCGAACGCGTAGCCCTGCAGAGGGTTTTAGGCTCTGAGATTTTCGATGGGTGTTTCGAAGCTCTCGAGACTTCGATTCATGGTTTCGGGGTTCTACAGGCATCTTTGGGCTTTCAGGGGTTCTTCCGGTTACAACGCTTTTGGAGCTGCCAAACTTGGAAATGGCTGTGGTCGCCCACGGAGACAAGCGTGGTCCCGTGCGAAAGTCAAGGATCCAGGGTTGACGGATTTGCGCGTGCTGATTTAGAACTGCGAGGGTTTTCGGGGTCCTTGGTGATTGTCGATTACAAAGTATTGACAGCAAGCCTGCTTCGGTTTAGAGCCAAGACATAGCTCATCGAGGACCGAAGGCCCTCGAAGATTTGGTGTTCGTCAGCTGGCAAAGCCACTAAGCAGGGTCTTCCGTTTTACCCTCTTGAAGCAACCAAGGCAGAGCATCGCTTAATGAGACAAAAGAGTGGCATGAAAACGGGCGAGCAGACACAAACGCTTGTCACCGTCCAAGGGAAAAGAGGTTTTTGAGGAAGAGAGGCTCGCCTGGTCCATATAGATCGCCATTTGGACAGCCGTCAGCTTTCCGTCCTTAGTCGCACCGACCTTGTACTTCACATAGTACGGGTTTCTGCCCCCGACCATCTGCAAATACGGTGAACGAACGTACGCCAGATCAGCTTTCACCATTTTCCGAACGGCAAAAGTTTGCATGCAAATTAGGTCGTGGTCTGACGAATAGCAGCCGCTTCGTCCCATTGTGTTGATATTAGTCTACTGGACCACAGCGGAAGTGGCAAGTGCAAACCCTCTAACAGGTACGACAAAAGTCAACGCTTTGAAGGGCATTTGCGACTCTCAACCAGGACCTATTACTGGCTTCTGCGCAGCGCCTCTCTTTATTGAGGTTCACGAGAACGATCCAAATCCACTCCCCAAAGTCCAAAAACTCGAAATAAAATCTCTCTCGACCTGACCCTTACAGCTCAAGAAGCCAGAACGGTACCTGCATGTTGGTACTGAGGTCCAGAACGGTACGAACCGGCCGCCTGAACTTGTCCGCAGCGAGGGCGGTGGCGGCAGCGACCGGGGAGGAGCGGTTGATCTTGGCGCCAAATGCCCCGCCCACGCGCTTCACCGTCACCTGCAGCAGCGGAAAGGGCGACGGAACGCTGAACAGGGCCTCGCAAAACATGGAGTGTTTTGTCTCACAGATTAACGGCGCCAAAGGCCCCACCCACTCGCTTTACGGTCACCTGCGGCCGCGGAAATGGGGGACGGAACGCTGAACAGGGCCTCGCGTTGATCGGGGTGCCCCTTACTTACAGAATATTGCGGATCAGCAATAGATCAAAGCGCCAAAAGCCCCGCCCACGCGCTTTACAGTCACCTGCGGCCGCGGGAAAGGGCAGCAGAACGCTGAACAGGGCCTCCCAACGAATGAGGTGCTGCTCTTCTGACACGTTGTGCGCGTTGAGAAGAAGGTATCGATTCAGCATTTTACTCTGTAAATTCAGGTTGCTTCTATAATGTTGGGAACTGAAAGTTAACGGCCCAATCTGGTTCCCGAATTTGGTCCTCGTCGATTTGGAAACTAGCTCACAAATGATGACGGTTCGCATGAACACGTACTGTGCCTAATCATCCAGAAACGTTTCAAATAATCTTATGATTTCTCCTTGACTCGGCAACGCCCAGCAGTCCCCTTTGCATTATCGCGAGAGCGTACGGCATACCTTTTCACGTGATCCTTGTAACGACGAACGCGGGGTGGTGAAAGCAGAGGAACCTTGATTGCAAAAGGCCCACTGAAAGGCGCCCGACATAAGGCGACTGATCGCTCTGCGCTAGGCGAAAGTTTGGAGACTTTGCGCCTGAGCGTACCACGGCAGAATTTCGTGAAGTTGCACATATTCAGCAAAGGGTCGCAGCTCACCGTCACTTTGTGCTGGGGCACGTTGAGAACATTCGCCGCCACGGCTTGGACCTGGAAGATGGCAACGACGCGTTCAAGCCTGACTGTTTCTACGGATAGCAGCTCAAGAAGAAAGTTGACGAACGCAAGGCAACACTGTGAAAGTCAAAGCCTCCGCCTCTGTTTGTCGAAACCCTGCTCATGTTGCTGGATTTGTGAAAAGGCGGAAGTGAAGCTTGCTTCGGAAAGTATGAGAAAGAGATCAGTCTACAGTCTTTTTCCAGATGAGGCCTATTCGGCATGCCCTAAAGCCTATCCTTCTTCTGTGAGGGGACATAGGAGGACGCCACAATGTTTGGAAGGTATCATCCTCATCGGGCGTTGCCTGCCTTACGATCGATCAGGTCTTCAAGTCTGCTCATCGCATGATGAGACCGAGCAACATCAGGGAATGCAACAATGAGCAAAGGAAGTTACCTACCTTCGAAGGGTTCTGCGATGACGGCACAATGTCCGGAGATTCAACTCCATCGGGCATCGCTCCCTCACTTATTGCTCGAGCTCTCTATGCAAATCAACACATAATGGAACCCACACAAGACCACGACCTTGAAACCCAAAAGCCAGAAGCTCTACTTACCTGCGAGGGGTTCTGCGATGACGTGACGATGTCGACAGCCCCCTCCTCCCCGGGCGTCGCCTGCGCGCGCTGCGTCTCCAGATGGAAATGGTACGCGTGGCCCAGCGACACCTCGCCCTCCACAATGACGTCAGCGGCCGCGAAGCCCTTGCTGACGTCACCTGCGGCCACACGAGATATCGTGGGTGACGGGCACCTTTGAAGGTGCGAGAATGATAAAGAATTTTGGTGTGGTCAGGCCCAAAAGCAAGCCTGAAGCTTACACCGAACAATTGCGGACAATACTGGGACAAAGATCTATTTTACAACGGCACCCATGATCAACGCCGTATTGCCTTCGTCGAACCCTATCCTCAAACGTTGCAATCAAAGTCGAAACTGTGGCCTGATTCGCCGGCAACTAATTGTTGTCAGAGGAGAACCTTCAGATTTTAAATTTTCAACCCCGCGTACTCACAAGCCGGCAATCCAAGGCATGCAAGCTAGAGACTCAGCAAGAAAGGACTCGGTCCTTGAATCTGTCTTGCACAAGAACCAGAGCAGGGAACGGAAGGAACCAAGCGCACAAGAGTGACCCTGAACTTGCGTCGACTGGGAATGCCAAAGGGAGATTGCACGATAAAGAAAAGAGCGATGTGCAGACAGGAAGAGCGGAGAAGTAAGGATGACATGGAAGAGAAGGCAGGATGACAGAAGGGACAGAAGGAAAGAAAGACAAGATGACGCGAGGGTTTGAAACAGAAAGAAAGAGAGACAGTATGACAAAGGCTTCAAACCTGTCTCTAGCTCCCGGTAACTGTCCTTGAACAGCGAATTCGCCTCGATTGCTTCCTTGATGGTCAGGACTGGCTTGCTGACGTCTTTGTACGTCACGTTCACCATTTCTGCCGCGACCCGGGCGTGCTCCTGGAAATGACATCACGGGGTTTGCGTAAAGGAGTGGATACTCGTCTTGTACTTTCTTCGCACTCGGCCACCAAATCTGAATGGCCCTTTGCTAAACATTGATAATTAGATCAGTACGCTGATTCGAGGCTTGAATGCGTCATCCGCAGTTGTGAAACAAAGCACGGTTTTAGGCTGGAACGTTCCGAATGTGCCGCGCACTACTAGTCGCTCGTAAGCTCCGGTGTACTGACCCGGGGCCAAATCTATCGGCAGAATAAAACCAGACGAAACCACAATTCGGATCTCGCAAAACGATCTTGGAGAACAACACTCACGTAAGAGTCCGCCACCACGAGACCGATCGCCTGCCCATAGTAGTCCACCTTCTTGCTTGCGACCAAGCACTCGTACTCCCTGCACGACACGGAAAGCCTTCGCTTTTTCCTCCTCCGCTTTCTTTCTCATTGCAATCGTCCTCCAAATATGCGACCACTACACGGAAGGATGTTGACGTCAGTCGCCATCAAAGAAGTCGAAGGGCTTTCAATTTATGTATCTTCTGTAAAGCTACTCAGCAGATAAAAACCTTCCCGGAGAAGAACTTCGGTTGCAAAACGTTACCAATCGAGACTAAATTAAGAGGAAGGGAAAACGACACAGACCAAATGATAGCAGACCAACCATCAGTCTGAATTAGCCACCAGGGATGACACGCCCAATATCTGGAACTAGGAAGGAGAAAAATACCGCTCACCCAACCATGGCCGTACATCCGTCCTCGATCATGGACGCAACTGGCTAGAACTAGAAATGAGCAAAAATTCCTGCTCAACCGACCATTTTCCCGTCCCCATCAAGAATCATTGAAACAGCTGGCACGAACTAATTCGCTCAATCACCATGCTTTCGTATTCATCCTCGATCATGGACGCAGCTGGCTAGAACTCCGATCCACAATAATTTCCGCTCACCCGACCATGTTCCCGTATCCATCCTCAATCATCGACGCAGCCGAAATGAAGCCCTTGACGCCGCGCATCGACAGCGCCGCTGACGGGTCGATGACGTCGATTGTCGCGTTGGCTTGCGTCGACATGACGAAAGCGGCGTGGAGCGCGTCGGCACGCAGAGGGAGGTCGTCCAGATACTGCGCCTCGCCGGTTGTCTGCGCCCAAAAGCAGGTTTGCAATTTGCAAATTTGTTCTCTTATTTCATGCTCGACCGGATCTTGCACCCTTCTCTTTTTAAAGTATTTTAGCAAGCCAGTATGGGAAGAAGAAGCAGCAGACCGCAGCGAACCGCAGAACTTCTTCTAGGCGTGATCTGAAAAAGCAAGATATGCTCTTCCTGGCTTATCAATTCGCGTCTTTGTTCAACTAGCTGAATGTCGCAGTCTTGTATCTTCTGTTCGACAATTCTCGAAATCTCAGCGAGTGACGTGCTAAGGTTTTGAGTGCTACCCCAGCACGATCTCGGAACGTTTAGACCGTCTGAGGTTTCTGGTCTAATTCCCCGAACGTCCAATAAACTTTAACTCATCTGATGCAGCGCAACTGCCCTTGGCAATTGCCTCACAGGAACGCATTGCAGGAAACAGGACTCAATTTGAATAAGGAGACCAGTTAAGCCTGGATGACGTCACGCAGACGCCCAACTGACCTGGATCTGTGACGACAGCTTGTGGATTGGCTTGCTGACGGGATACTCGGACGGGTCCGTGTCGAACGTAACCGAGCCGCTGGAAATAGGCCGCTCGTACTGCGGCAAAGGAACGAAGTTCGCGGGTTAAGAGGGGGCTCAAGAAAAGGTTGGACTAGTTGGTAAAAGGTGACAACTCAGACAGGGGTTGCGGATTGTTCGTTGAGTTTGAGCTAATTGTGACTCGTCGGCGGACTGACCTACTGTGGATTGCGATCCTTGCAGCGTGAAGAAAAATGAAGATCTTGAATTTGGGGGACTGCCAGAGCGCTGAAAGTGCGAATGATTCGGAGAGATCGCCATCTGGGCAGTCGATAGTCAAAGTCTCAACCGGCTGAACGTAATCTCTTCTGAACCGCTTGCAGAATCTAGCCACGAAGCGTGGCACTAACGTCTGCTTCAGCTCGAGCAAACGCGAGGACGTCAGGGTTTTTTGGTTGAGAAACCGTACACTGCGGAGCTTTCATGCCCTTACGGTTCCAGGGTTTCAGCAGCTCGTCGTTGCTAAAGATGTACATCAAAATGTTGCAAGCTTCAAGCCTTCAAGAAGCTTGGCCTCACCGTAGCGGCGGCGGATCGGAGCCGCGGCGGCAGTTTCGAGGGGTCCGCTAGTGCAAGGTACGATTTGTAGAAGAGCGCGGAGACGAGCGACTGGCGGTACTCGCGGCGGGGGGTGTACGGGTCCGCCTGAAGCTCCCCCCCGAGGAGGGTCAGCGCGTCTTGAAGGACCTGGATGAGATCAAGATTGCAACATGGGATTTTCAGCACCTACTACATCCTCGCATTGGTTGCTGTTTGAATGTTCAGATTGACGTGAACTTTGCTTAAGTTGATTGAACGCGCGACGATTGTTCAAAGGACCAGGTCGGATGTGCAGTGGTGGTTTGGTATAGAATGTTCTTCGGAATGTTCCTTCAAACTTCTCGATCACAAACTCTGAGCCCAATGGATTGCAAAGGCCCCCGCCTCAGGTTGACGAGATCAAAAGAATGGACCCGACGAAGATAAATGAGCCTTGGCTGCCGCACATGGTCAAAAAGACAGCGTTTTTTCCGGTCGGATTCTGTGGATGTTGGAAACTCTCAAAACCTGATCAGCGAGCAACGAAGAACAGACCTATGTGTCCTTTCGTAACCCAGTCAAATGATGGAAATCATAATGGAATCTTTTGAGGGGGCTTACTTTCTCGTCGCCCCAGCTTTTGCCTTTGAGGAACTCCTCCGTCTTGCTGGCACGTGTCGCACGGCCAGCCACGCCACCGTACACGATCACGGGTGCAGTGCTGAAGACTCCTGACGTTACAAAAAGAAGACGTCACGATTGCCGCGACAATCGTCACCATTGGGGCTTTCAAACAGGCAGAGCTGTGTTTCTTGCCGGCAGATCATGCTGCTTGATCACTAACATTGCCCTGTACCCGCACTCCGCCCCATGCCTTTGATTCGCACGGGCTATAAGAGAAGTATCCATCCTTGCTAAACTGAAAGGTCATCAAATTCATCTGCTTGGCAGGACCCAACATTTTTGAACCTGCCCGGAAGTCAATTGTATCGAAAAGTTCGTCCAGCGAGAGTACCCCGACTCTTTTCGCATCAATGAGCACCTTGAGGATCTTCTACTCTTGAAAAATGTCAGCCCTAAACCTCGAGACCAAAAGAACCCAAAATGGGCCATAGAAATAGACTCAGACACGTCGACTGAATCTCCAGATATGAAGACCCCGCCGAGCCTTACCTTCATCGGTAACCGCTGCGCGCATCGCCATGTTGACCAGCGCGTGAGCGTTTTGCCGCCGGAGCGCCACCTTATGTCCGACGAACTTCTCCTCCTTCCCATACGCCGGCAGAAACACCTCCTCGATCACGAGGCCTTTCGGCTCCAGGTCAAAGAACTGGGTTATGCTAACCCGCTCCTTCTTTTTGCCCAGGGTTTGCGCTGACCCGGTTGTCAGGACCGCGCCGGCGGCGATGAAAATGGTGGCTAAGTCGGAGGTGAAGCCTTCGTGGAGACGCGCCATCATAAGGTTTCCCGCCAAAGAGCCCATGTTGCGGACCTGATGATTTGCCACCTGGCAAAAGCAGAGAGCCGGTGTGAAGACCCTTAAGCCGGAGAACTGGTGGTTTGACACCAGGCTAAAGCAGAGAACGGTGTAAATACACACCCAGGCTGGAGAGTTGGGGGTTGGTCACATGGCAGAAGCAAAGCACGGCGAGATTTTCCTCAGCGAGCGGTGAGAATGCTCCGAATCAGTGGTGCGACATCGCTCCTTTAGTGGATTGCTGACAGTTAGAAGCAATAGTTGGTACGAGGACTACAATATGTGCTTGATGCCGGACAAGGTCGTCCGTCCGTCGATCTCAAACAGCACGTTTCTTGTCACAGCGTGTTGGAAATTCCAGGCCCATTTATCAGCTACGGAAACGTTGCGAAAGGGTAGCCGTACAATCAGCTCTACGGCATGAAGCTGGACCAAGATGTGGGTTTTCTAACTGAACCGGTGGAAGTTCAACGCGACCAGCCGGTGAATCACGATTTATTTTAAGCGCCCGGCAGTTGAAGGCTCATGTTGCAAGCTCGTTTCAAGTGCCGCGATTGAAGGCGTGATTATCAGACCGCGCCCTACAGCTTTCGCCGTTCTCTTTCCAAGGGTTACGATTGCTAATAAGAATGTTTCGTTCAGAGCCTCAAGGTGTCCTTCCGAAAGCAGTCGCAATAATGAGCAAACACTCAGATACATTTATTCTAAAACCGAGCGAAGCTAGGTAAATAAGGCCTTCAAACGTCATCCTCTAGCATCACAAATGGACGAGTTCGGAAGCGACACGTGCCCCTCATCCACTACGATCAGTAGACCGAATCAGCGGCCCGTATTTGCAAACAGCGCCCGGCTGCCGTTCAGAATAACAGGCATCTGAACTTCTACAATCCAGGAGAAAAGCGAATCACGAAGTGACACGTGTCACTCACCCGCTGCATGTACTGGACCAGCGGCCCGTACGTCGACGACAGTGCCCGGACGCCGTCCAAAACCTTCATGACGTCAGCGATCGTCACCCCCCCGCCAAACGCGACCCCGTCTTCTCGCACGGTCACGTCCAGCAACTCCGGCACTTTCGAGACGTCAATCAGCAGCCCCGCCTCCGAGGGGGGGTACACCCCAACCGAGGTGTTTCCGGCGACCATCCGCGCCCCAGGGCCACACTTAAGGTCGCCCGAAGAGGCGACAATCTGGTCGTGGAGAACCGTGTACAGCTGGCTGAGTGACGTGGCAGTGAACCAGGTGTAGTCTTCCGAGGACCAGAAACAGGGTTGGTTAGAAGGGTTTAGCGGCGCGGTTAGGGAAGGATGAGTCGTGGGGAGGGGGGGAGAGAAGTCTTCAATGTCAGAAGAGCAGGGTTTCGTGCAGGGTTTGGCGCAGGCGAAGGTTTGGCCGGCGTTGAGGATGGGGCGGAAACCGGTGCACCTGCAGGGACGGTTCGTCAGAAATGCTGTCAGACAATAAGCAAGCGCGTGACGCGGAGGGCAGAGTCATCAAAGAGTATAGAGAAGAAACTGTTTCATCTTTCCGATGTTGCAAAGATTGACCTAGTCTCTATCGACAATTCGAGAGGGGTCTTCAAACAAGAACGTAAAGATCTTACATCAATGAGAAGGTTACCTCCTGAACAATTGCCTTCCAGCGACACCTGATGAGCGGACTCTGCGATTACGTTAAAGCCCTTGCGCATTGAAAGCTTCTCGCGGATTGGCGGTTTGGCGGCACGATGGGAGAAATCTACCCACCGACGTACGAGACCATCGAAAGATAGCACGAGCTGAGGAACTCCCAAAGCAAGCCAGATGTACATTTCAAGCGAAAGTCGGACGCGATGCAGCGCCGCAGCAATTACCTGCACAGGTTGCCGTCCAAGCGGCCTTCAATTGCTTCTGACGTGGGTTGGAGGTCGTTTTCCAGGAGGCTGTAGAAGCTCATGATCTGCAAACGAGGGGCACAACCATCCGAATCTGAGAAAGTGATGAGTCGAAGCGCCGACCGAGCGAATTTTGTCAGATATTGCCTTAGTGTGGATGATGTCCTTTCCAGAGAAGGGCAGGACGAAAACTGGACAAAAACAAAATTCAGATCCTTGTGCTTGAGAAATGTGCCCTCTAAAAATTGCTCTTCTGTAGCAAAAGCACTCTTGGTTCCTGACCCCTTTTTCAGGTGCGCATCAGAGATCAGAGACGTTTCAGTCCAGCATAAGAGTTCGTCAACGTTCTCGAAAAGGGCCTTGTCACTTGGAGTTGCATTTGCATGATCGAAATTTGAGTTTGGAGCATGCACGGTCATCAAGGATGAAAAAACTTCGAAGAGGAGTTTGGACGAGTGAATATCTGCAGGCAAGGTTTCCTGAGCAAGCGCACAAGCAGAAGCACAAGACAAACTGAAACTACCTGCCCCTAAACCGGCCTTGTTTTAAAAAGCCCTCAACCTGAACATGCTCTTATGCTGAAGAATGCTTCCTGAGGTCCAAACTCTGAAGATCCTGCCAAGGGGTCTTCATACAGAACTGACACCACCCAGCTTGAAAACCCTGAGAGCCTGCTTGATAGAGAATATCTATTCCATGCACAAGCAGGGCAGTGCAGATAAATTGAAAACCTGACCTGAAGGTTGCCATGAAATGTCAGATTGAAAAGTTTGAGTTTGCAGAATCGACTCATGGCCGCCATTGCCCCAATGCGACTGATCTCTTACTCTGTCTCCCCTCTAAAAAGAAATGATACTAGAGTTCCGGTGTGTTTCGACTATCATCCAGGTTTCATAAGTCCACTGGATATCGACCATTACTACAAATTATTGTTTTGAGAAAAGCAAACCGGAACCGGATAGTGAAAGAATCTAAGGAACCAGGCTCGTCTATCAAAAATCGGAGTGTTGGAGAACGCATCGTGCATGTTGATAGAGTTGTGGGCTTTCTATGAATCCCAGCAGAAGCAGAAAACTGCCTCAGAAGCAAAGAGGAGCACTCACTCCAAAAAGCTCTCCTAGAATAGTTCCTCTGATGAATCTTTCTAAAACCTTTCACTTGGAAGCCCTGATGACAGCACTGATCATGCAACCTTCAATGAAAGCAGCCCCCAAATGCAGAAAAGTAGAGCAAAAAGTCCTAACTGGTGCGGGGAAGATTTTAATAGTCTTCAAAGCATGAAAAGCCAGAAATGTACGACATAATATTGGGCCTTGAGATCAAAGAGGGAAGGACTTTCAAAGAACACACCACCAGGGAACTGGCCTCAGAAAAGTGCCCATCATTCAAATAGGTCTAGTCCAATGAAGACGAAGCAAAGCAAACTTTTCAAATTTTTCGTAAAAGTGCCCACCATTCCAGCAGTGCAGAAACCACACTGCGTTCCGTCCTTCTCCACAATCGCCTTCTGCAATGGATGCATTCCCTTCTTCCCATCCTTCAGGCCCTCGATTGTCGTCACCTCCAAACCCCCCACCGAACACAGGGGCTGCAAGCACGAGTCCACTGGCTTCTTCCACGCTGGCAGTCCTTCCCTGGGGGGCGCCGCCAGGACTACAGTGCAGGCTCCACAGCCCCCCTGATTGCAGCTGATCTTGGTTCCAGTTAGCCCCACCTCTTTGCGAACGTAGTCAGCTAGTGAGCGGCGAGGATCAGGGTTTTGCACAGAGATGGGCTTGCCGTTCAGTGTGAAATGGAGCTCAGTTGCACCAGGACCGACGGGAGGGGGGTTGTTGCAGGGCTGTTGGGACGCCCCCGGAGGCAAGAAAGGCGCCATGGTTGCGCAATGCTGTGGACTTGTCAAGTGAGCAGTTGGTTCATCGAGCAAAAACAGCGCGTCTGCGGCTGGGCTCCCAAGTCTGGCAGGACTTCACCCCGCCTCTGCTCCTCATTTAAGCCACTTCAACTTCTCAACATGCTTGCGCTGCATTCATCGCTGTGGCCCTACCTGTGCAGCTCGCCGCCAGCTCTTGAAAACGTCCTACCGCAACCCCTTCCCAAACCCGCGCGACGCCCAAGCCTAGCCAGCGCGGCCGCGCGCGCAGCTTAATAACGTGATCAATCCGGCAAGTAGCGGACGGCTGTGGATAACTTAGCACTTATATGACAAACAGCGATAATCTCGTATAGCCGCACTTGGCTACATGTGCAGAGGTTGTTAAGAAAGCTCGCGTCCCAGCGTCTTGGACATACTTGTGTGCGATTATTATTATTAGGCGAGCAGAATTCAAATGATTGTTTCACTAACAAAATGTCGAAGCTGTGTTGCATTCTTCTTCCTCTTCAACCACTACGCTGAAACATTTGGATTCGTCATTCATGAGTGAAGAGTCTATAATGACCATGATCGAAGCGCTGCCGGTCATGCATGTGCTATACCAAAATTTGTATCGATCATATTATAAACGACGTTTGCGACGTTGGATTTCTGCACAGACTTTCGTGCGCGCGAAATGGATGCAACCTTGTGTTTGAAAGTAATCACAGCACGGGACCTCAGCGAAAGCTCCACGACGCAGGGGTGCTTAGAGTCGCACGCTGAAAGTGATCTTTTGCGGCCGAACAATTATGGCAGGCAAGCTCATAATGATTCGGAGAACTGGCAGGACTGTCTTCGTGAAAATAGCTGCAGCTGGATCGGACATGACGCAGAATCATGTCAAAACGACCTCAAAAGTGCGTCATCATGATGTTTATCGGGCTGCGCTGCAAGCCAGCTCCCGTGATTAATGTAATGAGCCGGTGTGCCGAAAAAGACAACTTGAACAGTATGAACATTTGACTACCCGAGCATTCAGGTTCGCATCTGGAAATGAGTTCACAGTTCTTCATGTACAACAAAACTTCCAAACGGGCCCTCCCGACTTCTAAATATAGACGGCCAAGTGGATAGTAAGAGTTTGAAATTTTCGAATGACTCTCTGGCTGTACTGGAGGGCTGATCTGCTTACTTGACAAAAAAAACCGTATAGGCGAAGTGACTCACTGACTACTTAGGTAGCACGAAGACTCCCACTTAGGTCATCACGCCTTGGCGGAACGTCGTCCGGCCTCACTTATAGCAGGAGGAGTCCGCACAGGAATCACCTCGGACAATTGTTACAGGAAACAAATTTTCTACCGTCGTCGAATCTGAGTTTCTGAAAGATATGATCAGTCATATCATGCAAGCACACCACACTCAAAGCAACTAGACTGCCAATCTGGTTTCAGCTTCGACCTCTACCTTGGAAAGGAAGGCGCTGATTTATCAAGGGGTCTGATCAATAAGTCACTTCTTTCACCTGTATTTGAAGGAGGAAGATTTGTCAGATCCAGAGGCGAAAGTAGGAAGTGCAGACGAGACTGACCACTTCGCTTTTTGTGGAGTTTCAAAGCTGATCAATCTTAGGAGTTTGGCTGCGCAAGCTAGATCTGATTTTCAAACAGCCAGAACGTCCACCAGTCACACTTGACCAACTTTGACGGATCGACCCTGAGCGAATTACCGAATGCACGCCTGGAATTGGAGTATAGCCTCGACTGTTCTCTCCTTTCCGAAACTCATTGCTGGGCTTACACACTAGTCGCCTCTTTGCAAAGATCGCCCTATGCATTCTCCAGGGGTGATCAGTGAGCTTTCTCGACCAGACTGGGGCTTTTATTTTTCTGATATGACTCGGAACACTTGTGTTTCTGCTTCTGTCGACAACCCACCATCTGGAGGCCGTCTGGGCAGGCGTGGTTGACTTCGATTCGGCGGAGCTAGTCTTCCAGCCTCTGAAAAAGTTTGCGGTCAGCTTCACGTCATCCTGTACGTGAGGAGACAAGAAGCTTTTTCTACGACATCCACCATAAGTGCTGGCCGAACACTTTCAGCGTACTACTGGATCGAAGGTTGGAGCAAGCGAACAGATCTGATAGTATCACACTTTTCCTGTATCGCTCTTCAACACGGTCAAGGTCGCAAACGTCTAGATAACCTGGCAGGTTTTGCTGTCAGACCCAGACGTTTCGGGCCTTAACCGACACCTGTCCCGCTCTAACCTGACTCTGCACCTTTGTCAACCAGGTTTCTTCCGTCGGGTTCTCAGACAGATGTTTGCAATTTGGCATTCCTCACTTCGGAATGAAGTGCTTCATTACAATGATGATAAACGGCTTCATGAGACAGCAGCCGAGCACCAATTCCGCAGGGTGCATGACGAATCACCTGGGAACAACTAGATTCATCCAATACCCACAGGGAAGAGAACTCTGAGTGGAAACTCGTTGCTCGTCTGCAAACTCATGGCAAGCGAAGCAAAGGCAAGCGTGGCCTTCTTGCACAGGTCAGAAGTCACATCAGCCCTAGTAAGAAGCGTCCCCCTAATATGGACCTTTCCTACGTGAACCAAATAACGGGAGAGTAACACTAAGCCACACTTATCCTTCTTTTCGTCTTCTCACCTTCACACCAGTGCTCTTGGGAAGGGGCACCTTGTCCCAAGCAAACTTCCTGGGCACCTCACGCGGCGCGGGATCGACCGGCCTCACGTCTCGTCAGCATCACCCTTGCTCTCCGTTGCTTTTCTGTCAAAGCAATTGGCAAGAGTCCCACAGGGCTTCCCTGTCAAAACGCACCCTGCATCCTCGTCGCACTTCCAGTCTTTCACCGGGAGCTCGAGAAACATGTCCGAGTCTGTTTCCCCGTCACCCATAGCCGAAATCTGAACCTCAGTCTTGGCTGCATCCAGAAACAGATTTGTCGGCGAGCCCCTCTTCTGAAAAAGGGGGATGCAGCTCGCCACGAAGTGACCGTTTCTGCACAGAATCACTTCTGGAATCCAGTTTTTGAGGGTCTTGGGGTTACGAGGGTCAGTGTTGGGCACGATCTGAAGAGCGCACGATGAACGGCGCTTCTCATAATGTCCACGTGGCGCGCAGCTGCTGTTTGTTCAGGCGAGCCGCGCTCGTCGACGATGACCCATTGCTTCGCAGTCGCAACGGAAGAGCCGCAGTTGCGAGCGCTGCAGACGATCTTGATGTCCTTCACACCGCCCATAATCCGAGGATAACGTTTGTAAACGCCAACTGGAGAGGGAGAAAAGCGCCTTTCTCGAACGCGCAGATAGATAAAAAGATCTCCTGCGCCTCTTTCAGCATTTGAAATGCTAACAGAAGTTTTTCAGCTTTTGGGCCAGAGCATTGGTGGTCCAGCTGGACCACCTACAAAGCCCACGGACCTTCAAGCGCCATACCTTGAGCGGCTGTTAAGTCCTCCTTTATGGGGTGAAGCCGAGCCAAAGCTTTTGACGTGACTACCATCGACTCAGTCCCACCATAGTTGAGAAGCGGCGAACCTATACTACCCATACTCGCATCAGCCTGACGTTTCGCCCAACTCAATTATACACCTTCAGGATATACCCCAATCAACTCTATCGTTGCAGATCTGCCCACGAAACCTTCGGACTTGACGGTATACCGTACCCTGGCGAACATCCCGGGGCTTACATATAGCAGCAAGCGCTATAGGCGTACCTTGATAACATGCTAATATCAAACTACCAGCCCTCTCTTAACATTTTGGCAGAAGCCTAGCTGCTGCGTGATGCTGCATATGGAAAGCAGCCGCGCATGTAAAGCAAACAAGTTACATTAGACCAGCTAGCCGCCGAGAGTGCTAGGGGAGGTTGGCATCAATCAGGTAAATGAACAGATCCACTTGACAATACGATACGGTCGGATCGAAAACATCCGTGATCCCATACCAATTGACAAATTAGCCGGCCGGCCGCCTCACATAACTTTCACAGGATTTGGGGAATTATGCATGATATTTGAGTAGTCGATAATAGCATGTAACCATCGGCCCGCGCTCAGTCAATCGTAGCTTGACCTGCCGGGCTCTGATTTCTTTCTGGACGCGAACGCCGAATTTCTAATAAGTCTCTGGCCATGTTGTCTTATCAAATGATCAAGTCAAGCATAATTGAATATCACTTGAAACACTGCACGGGATATATTAAAGCCACCAACGCTCGACTCGGATTGAACGAACAATATTCGGGATAAGGCGCTTCTTCTCAATCCACGTAGCGGCTGCTTTGTACGTCGGCTCGCATCAAGGCCCACGCGGCACACAATGATGCGACCGGAGCCTGCGTGTGTACTAAAACCTACCCGGCAGAACTGGGTCACCTTGGCGGCCGCCCGGTGGACGCGATGATGAGTGTACTGGACTTCTCCTTAGGAAAGTCCACAACGACAAACACTGGCGACTTGCACACTGAGTGATGGGATACTGAACAGCAATCTGTTGACAAGCCAACCGTCTAGATAGAATCGCTCACTCCTATTCACGGCTCTGTTTGGTGTTTGGTGTCAAAGTGTGGATAAGCAGAAGCGATCATATGGCATCTCTGACTGCAAGGTCGATACTTCAAAACCGCCGGTCGATCTGGGCCTAACAAAGCACGCCTTCGAACCGGTTCGGAGGGTGGGTTCCAAAACCTGCAAAACGAGACAACTCCTGCTTTCCACTTTGCCACGAGAGTCTTGGGATCCATGCTTCTCAATGCCGATTGCCTGACATTGTTTTCGTATTGGAAGAAGCACTTGAGCCGAGCCGTACTCCTACAGCAACAGCAAGATGAGCAGGGACTGACAAGCAAGAAGACAATGAGCCTCAGGCTTAAGGAGGCTCAAAGGCGCCAGGAGTCTTCTTTCTGAAAAAAATTGAATTGGAAGGGCGCGTCGTCCGGCCTAGGATGACCCTAAAGGGATTTTGACAATGGTCAAAGCGTCCCAAGGAAAGATAAGGGAGCAGGAAGGTCGCACACCGACAAAACACTTCTTCGCTCAGCTGGTGCCTAGCTGAAAGCTCGCGTAGAGTACTTCATCATTTGGAAGCCAGTAGTCAAGCACCTCAAGCTGCATAAAGAACAGTGTTTTGCGACTTTTTTATTGGTCGGTCAGAAGCTCGGACGGTATGGATTCACTGAAGGAGTAGCCCTCTTCAAAAGTCCTGGATTCCAGACACACCGACCTCGAGTCAACAGGTAGAGCAGGGCAGATAGTGCTTCATGGAGAACTCGAAGCAGACAAGGTCACTTACTTACTCTTTCTGCTAGGCCGACGTGCACTTCTCACTTGTCCGGATGCACACTGCCCTCGTCCCGAATGCCCTTCGCAAACACCCCGGACAAGCTCCCACGTCGAAAGAAGGGCCGCTAGACCGTTACAGCTCCGTCGTCAGCTCCGCTTCCTCATAGGGTACCGTCTCTGAAATTTTCGCCCCCGTTTCGGGGGGTATCCGCTCTCCCCCTCCTTCGCTTGCTGCAACGGCCCGTTCCAGAGGCGCCCCATGAAGTCCCTCCCCTTGCGTAACCTGCCCAACACCTTTTGCAAGACGGCGAGCGCTCCTCACGGGCTCCGTTTCTATGCCTTCGAACTCCGGTGCCTCCGAAGCGCCCCCGTTCGCCTGTCCGTCTACTGCTTGACACCGGTTCCCCAAGCTTCCCCGCTCACCACCTCCAGCTTTCGTCACTGCAGACTCCCCCAAAATCTCAGAGTTATTCCTTGCGCTCGACACCTCCCCGGCCGCTTTCCGCTCATCAGTGCCGCTGTGCCCATTCACTCCCGAAGCCTCAGCCCGATGTCCCCATTCGCTGACGCCTTTGGCCCCATTCACACTCCCCCCCCTTGCAGCATCCCGTTCCTCCAGACGCCTCAGCCGCGCATCGAATCCGCTCAGCGCGCCCGTGACCGCCCTCTCAATCCTGAGGCATGTGCCCTCCAAACCCTCCAACCTCCGCAGAATCGCCCCTAGAGTCGCTCCCTGCTCCGCTGACCCGCCACTTACATTCTCTTTTTGATGTGTGGCCTCATTTCTGCACTTTTTTCCATCTACATTTTGAGGATCGTTTCCCTTCTCTGTCCCCAACAGCTCTGCCTTATCAGAAACGGATTCTTGATTAGGCGTAACTCCGTTGGGCAAAACGCCTCTGCTGTTACCGATCGCCGCCATCAGCGCGGATAGGTTCACCGGCGGCCGCTGAGCACTTCCACTAGCTCCGCTTGCTGAACCTAGGTGAGCCGCACCGGGTAGGTGTGAATTCCTCCTCCCTGCTTTCAAGCCCTGCATCGACGCCATAAGCTGAGCCAGCCCCTCCGGAATTGCAGGGTGTGAACGGCCACCGCTCGCTGCGCCCTTATTCACACTCCCATTGTTCGCTTGTGCTGGACTGCTACTCATCTCTTCCACCCCGGTGCGGTTGCTTTGGCGAGCCTCCAGGTTGATTGCACTATGTTCAGGCGGAAGGAGGTGTGAAAAGGCACCGGGCAACTGAGGGATCCCCGGGACTCCGCTGCTAAAGAGCGGCCCTAAAGCAGGTAACAGGGGCGCAAGCGCAGAAAGCGAACTGCCGGTCAGACGCGGAGGCGCCACCGACGTCGGGCCTCGAGAAGCATAGATTCTGATAGGGTCGATTTTTAATTCGGCCTTGTTCTGAAGAGAGACAAACTTGAGACGGAGAGACGTGAGCGCTGGCCCCCTCGCAAGCTTGATGCCACAGGAGTAAAGGGGCACCGACGTTTCTGCTGGTTTTACTGTGGGGGGTGAACGGTGAGGTCTGGACTCAGGGCCGGAAGACCCATCCGATTGCCCCTCCTGACTCTCTTGCGGTGTTTCATGGCTTGTCTCTCGGGGGGGAGGAAAAGTAGAGGCTTCCGGCCGGGACTCCAGACTACTCGGCTTTGTGAGGGTGGCAATCGCTGGGGGGCTCGGGGAGGTTTCCTGACGGCTAGTCTGGCGGGGGGGTGGCACAGGCTGGGGGCGGTTGGGGGGTACTCTTGATGGCTAGTCGTCCGGGGGGATGGGAAAGCTGGGGAAAGGTGGGGG